GCCGCCATGATGGGTGGCAGGGGTGCACAAAATGAAAGACACCTGTTTAAAGCATCGCCCGTAGCAGTTACCACAGGCATGCATGACAAGGTCCTTGGTTACACGCGTCTCCATATGTGCAATATATAAACCCTTCATTCTCTATTGGCCGCACATGCCTTAGAAAGAAACAGAGCTACATTGCTGGCTCATGCATTTTGCGTTCAAACTTTCGCTGTAGCTGAGCCTGCCGGTTCGTTGGCACAAGTTCACGCGATTCAAGTTCACCAAGGCTGAAGACATTTCGAATGGTCGATACAGGCCATAGAACGTACGTCGGATCCACTCAGTGTGTGCAGACAGCGACCTGGCCTCGAAATGCATTGTTCGAACAGCACTCATGTGCTGATCTTTTGCAGGTGTGGTTAGGCTTTGAGACCGGGTCTAGGGCTCGCGGTGTGTATCGCGAAACTGTCCCGTTTACGTCACCAAGCCCCTAAAGCCGTTCCAAGCCCTGAATGTTGAACCACTCGTCAGAAGGAGACTGACGCCCCAATTCCATTCATTGGGTCCGGGATTAGGCATAGTGCGTTTAGGGGCCATCCGGTCCTCAATCTTTGTCCTAAGACCTGCACCTCCAATTCTGCACCCTCGCCACCAAATTAGACTACAGTTCTGCGGCCCTCAAAGAATTTCGGGCCCGAACGGTAGACTCCCAGAGCAGTGGACGAATCCCTTGCGAAGTCCGCATCCTCGCATGAAGGCCTCGGAAACACTCGGAAAGTGTTCAAAAGTGTTTGGGGGTAAGTGTAGGGCGATGAGGGAAGTGAGACTTCATATGCTTCTCTACGTTGTGGAGAAAGGGGTGGTGCGAAAGGATTGTCAGAGATTCCTGTAGCCACACATACATATCCGTGCAGGCTTCTGTGCTTGGAGATTCAATGAAATTTAGTGTCTACCCATTCTCTCAACTCTACTTCCCAGATGGTGGCCAATTGGATACAAGCGAACGGGAAACTACCCATCTACCGAACCCCCTAAATCAGAAATGCCGACGTTGGATTTTCCATCGGAACCCCCTGCCAACCGAAAAAATGGACCCAACAAGCATCAATTTTTCATTTCGGCCAGGCACTTGGTTTCATCTTGTTCGGGCCGAGTCGTTCCAGATTTACAGTACAAAGTGCGAGCAGACCAGGCTTTGTCTTTATGGCGCGACGCTTTGCACAGGGCCCAGAGCTTCAAGCCTGAGGAAGAACGCGGAATTGTCAATACTGCGAACTGCGACCTTTCTCGGGCTGTAGTTCCTAAGAGCATTTTCCCTCTGTGCAAGGTCCCGGTGACTATGACAAACCGGGTTACTGAAAGCTCAGCCACTTACACCGAGCCGTTTGGTGCAAGCAAGTCCCAACTCTGTATTACCCTGTGGGCTCATGCTTGGGCCGTGGCTAACTTCAAGTGCTACCCCGACTGAACGCGGAGCCAGCAACGTCCAACTGCGTAGGTTTTGCGAGGCTTCGCAAATTAAGCTGAAAGAGTCAACAAGGGTCTGACAACAACATGAGCAACATCTTCCTTATCAGAAGCTCAAAGCAAGCAACTCTACCCTGAACTATCTGATTCCTCAGGACCGAACAGTGCACCTCCAATGTAGGGTCCTCATCTTGTGACGAGTTCATATGAGTTTGTGAAGTCCAAGCCAGATCTTACGATGTAGGTGCTCCTGGGCACGAACCAAAGCAAATCGGTGTCCTTGGAGGTCGCGGAAGGTGTGACACTGCCCGACCTTCAGGCCAGAACCGAAATCCTCAGGCGGAGCTAAGCAAAATAAGGACTTGCTTTCGCAACGCCTTACTGCCTCACGTTGTGTGCAGGACCTGTGCCTGCAAAAACAATCCAGAATCTCTGAGCGCTGAGCCGACGCACACCAGTCAAAACTCAACCCAATATCTTGGAGCTGGTCAGGGTGTCGACTACAGCCCCCTGAACCCTGAACTCCTAAACCCCATGATCTACTATGTCAAGGCTGCTCCAAGTTTCCGGCTTTTCTTGCGGCGCAGGGAATTGCGTGGGGTCTCAAAATTCCTATAGTCTCCATTGTAGTTCCTTCTTGGTTTTAACTTGAACCAATTTCAAAATACAGGATCCTAACTAAAGTTATGTGGGCCAGCATCCCGCATGGAAACAGTAGGTATTGTTAAAAGCACCGCGCCAGTGCATCCTGATTGCGTCGGAGGTTTGCAGAGCAGGGTTTGGGAGAGTGCCGGGGTTAGACCGTGGCTAACGGGGATCAATATCATGCTCTTAGTTTTACTTGGACCCTGCTTTGACAAGAAATGTTTGGTAGAATCGGTCGTTGATGCTTGTTGTTGTTGCTGTTCTTGTTGTTCTTCGTGTTGTTGTTGTTGTTGTTGTTGTTGTTGTTGGTGGTGGTGGTGGTGGTGGTGGTGGTGGTGTTGTTGTTGTTGTTGTTGTTGCTGTTGTTGGTGTTGTTGGTGTTGTTG